GAACAGTCACTTAGGGTTTAGGGTTCATCAACAATCCCTTAGAGAGCTGAATAGAGCAACGCACAATCGGAGGAGGGAAAAAAAACAGCCGAACAGTCCCTACTCAGATTTTGGGACATTAACAGTCCATCGAAATAGTGCAAGAAGAGAACCATAAACAGAGAAACTTCAGTTCAGTACCTAGGTCACCCGAACTGTGAATTGGCAGTACACTCATGGACTCAACCTTCTCTGCAGGCCAGAATCCTTCTTCGTACATCTAAGATGGTTTTCTACAGTCTTCTTAGCTGAGCAACTCCAGTCACCAGCACCTGGGCTGGAGGATAAAGAAGAAAAAACTTGTAGCAGAACCCTTTTCTGTGCTAGGAAGTTGAACAGTCAGCTTTCTTGTAGCAGAACCCTACTCGGCAATGGAGACTAACCGCAGCACTAGAGAATGCTTCCTCTTCCTTGTCTTCGAGCATCAGAACTATAGCTTCTACGCAGCAGTGGAGAGAGACCTCAGTTGGTTGTTTTCCAGGCCTGGTCGGTTCCGCTCTGATACCATGTTGAGCAGAAGAAGAAAAATGAAGGAAAAAGAAGAAAAGAAGAGGTTGTAGACTTCATGCGAGTGAAGCATTTGTATTTATACTATATTGGCCGTACAACACAAGAGGTCTACAAAATTACAAAAATACCATTGCGAGCACTAAACCTGTGTACAGTACATACAATACATCTGTCAACAATCTATATGGATTTACCAATAGTTTTTCTTAGATTAGGTGATATTGAACAAACTTATACTCAGGATTAATATCTAAAGCTCACAAATAGTGTTTATGTATGCATAAATAAGTGTACACACACACACAGAAAGAACCATCGCATAGACTTAACCTCCATAACCCAATAATAGTGATAAATGTCATCCACATATTCAGCTACTTCAAGGGGATTAGTGTTATCGTCAATATTCGGTAGCTCTAGATGCTTATTGACCTCAACACATTTTCCAAGCACCTGCAAGAATAGTGCTAAATATGATTACAAGCCCATAGACAAACTAAAAAGAATTGATAAACTTCAGTTTTTCTCAACCTTGAAATTTTCTATTACCATAGATGTGAAAGATTTCCGACGACTTGATCTGGACCTTGAAATGATGCATGTTGTGGTCATATTTGATAAGCTACTTCTGCTTGATGGAAGATTTCCTGGGGTAGATTTATGAGAAACCACTAATTGGGCTTTCTTGGGAGCAGCAATTTTTGTTATTTCTTCCTTATTCCTTGACAAATTTGCAGAGTCGGATGTAGGTTTCTTCAAACTCAATGTGCACTTTGATGTTGAAGTCATTTGGGCCTTGAAAACTGTAAGAGTATTCCCAGTTGGCTGCATAGTTATGACAAATTGCTAAATTAGCAAGAAGACAGTCCCATTATGTAGATTGATATTACTTTCCGTGTCCAAACAACATCCAGAACTAAAAATGAGATCATCATCATGTAATAACTAAATTTGTCAAAAACATTTCTTTATCAGTAACTGATTTGTAAACATCATTAATGTCAACATTTTAAACAAGGATAGTGAAGTTCAGAATAAGGAAAAATATCATGAAGTTCAAAAGTAATAGAAAGAAGAATATCTATACTTCAGAAAAAAAAAAAAAAAAAAAAAAAAAAAAACGTGTAGAGAAGATGGGCCAAATGGTCCATAGCCCACAGTTGTGTTTTCAATTTTATGTTTATGTTCTGTTTTGTTAATGGGCATTTTTCTTATGGGCCTGTTAACATTAGCTTCTCTTGCTTAATTAGCTACCGCCCCACTAAGGGCTTATTTGTAATTTCTGATTATTAGTGATTAATTTTTAATGAAAAGGATTAGGGAAAGGAAAAAATGTACGAACAACTCTTCTCTTTCACCATTTCTTCTCAATCGTTCTCTTCTTGCTGTCTCCTTTCTCTTTCTTCTTCTTTTAATCAGATTTCTTATTTCTTTATTTGGTACTGTTTTTCTTCTAAGGGAAATAAATAAAGCTAGAAAACAAGAATGCTTATCTGCATGTAGAACTATTTTTTTTATCAGCATGCAAACTTTTACTGAACTGAAACAAATCTCTGACAGAAAGGTACTATAGAATAGCAGGTATTTCAGAATCGTTGTTTAAGAATTCCATGGAAATTATCATCAAACTTCAGATTTCACATTTTTTGTCAATTGTCATGCACAGATCAAGTTAAGAATAGAAAATTTCAGCTTATGAGTAAGGCCACGTGGAGGAACCAAATATGGACCCACAAGTATCTTTGTTTGTGCCCAATAGTCTACCTTTTATTGCGCCATACTGCAAAAGTCATCCCTGACTGACCTCTTAAGTAAACCACAATACCCTCTTCTCTAGACATGTAAAAAGCACCAAATACTTCCAGATGACCATAAGCAGTTACCCTTAGCACCTGTAATGCTATTATATATAAATTTACATATATGCATAAATACATATACAAACCACTCCAAGGATGCACCAACACTTGGAGTTTCTCCAATTTGGAGCTCCAACAGTTTGTTCTTGCTTCATGATTGCATTTGATTCTATGATTTAGTGTCTTAGATCTCTACCAATCATCAACACAATACAAATATGCTAAAAGTTTATATACATAGGGCTTTCAATGGGTTGGGTCTAGGGGTGCAAATCAATCAGATCATGATCCGATCCGAGATCTAATCTTACTTGGTCAAATTCGGATCATCCCTGTTCGGATCTTCAGATCGAATCGAGTAATAGGATCCAATCAGAAATCAGATCGGATTTGGATCACCCCTGTCCAATACGATATATATTATATATTTATATATAAATATATAATACATATACATGTTATTTATTTATAAATTAATTTTTTATATTTTATTTTTATAAATTTGTTATATTATTTATTTTTTATAAAAAACATGTATATATATGATGAAAATAATTGTATTTTTTGTTTTTACTTTATTTAAATTAGTATGTTTTATTTTTCTTTTAATAATTTATTAATTTTTAAAGAAAACAAGTCGGATAGGATCAGTTCTGTCAGGTAGACCCAACCATTGAGAGCCCTACAAACGTATAGGTACTCTTGCTTAGTCATAATCAAAAACAGCTTTTGGTAATGACCCTTCTACTCTTTCCTTCTAAAGCATGTACTTTGGACTAGTGATCAAAGGTCTCCTACCAATCAAAAAAATAGAAGATTTGAGGTGTCCCTCTCATCCAAACTAGAATATGCCAAAAAGAACCCCATAAAATTATTGTATTTAATGTTGCTATTAGTGTTAATAGTGAACTTGACTATTTGCTGACAACTTTGCTAGAATTTTGTAATATAACTATTATTTAAACTTGTTCTGATTAACTTGCTAAAGACTTTCTAGGCTTAAGTCTTGTCTCACTAGACCTAATCATCTTAACTAGGCATTAGCTTTTCTTTTTGGAAGTTTGGAAATGAGTTGAAGAAAAACAGGTGGCTGACAAGAAATATGCATGTGAAAATTCAGTGGGTTTCAATCAAGGACCAAAGTATCAATATCGGGTATTGTATCGGAAAGCTCATATACGGATATGTATATGCTTTAGAAACACACGGATACGGACGAAAGATATGGAAATGCATGGATACGCTAGGGAAACACATACAAACCACATAAATATGTTAATAACATTAAATCTAAAGCTGAATTAACTATGAATAAGGTATAAATACATGTTAAATGCACACTTTAAAAGGTTATATGAAGAGAAACATTACAATCAACAACACCAGGACTCTAGAAGATGTACATATCATACATTAATCATCACTCTATTTTAGTTTTTGTAATTATAATTTTCAATTTTTATTAAATTTTTGGGAAATTTTATTTATTTAGCATTTTTATGTAAATAATATCTCTATTTTTTTCAAATAATAAGTGTTTTTTCATTTTTAGCATATAATTGTAAAATAAAACATATAAATCATTTAAGGTATATAAAATAAATTATTTTTATAATTTTAGTTTTTATTAAATTTTTGGGGAAATTAAATATTAAATTATTTAGTTCAGTTTTTATAATTATAATTCTCAATTTTAGTATTTTTACATAAATGGGTGTATCTAAAAGCATCGGGTCTTTCAGGAGAAGTAATAATATGGAATATAGAAGTATTCAAAAAAGGTTGGGGAGGAAATCGGAAAATACTCAATGTTAGTTTGTTTGTAAGAAGTAAGGGCTTATTCGTTTGCTTTGAGGTCTGACATCTGAAAGTGCAATAATAATGATGAGGGCAGATTTTCCCCTCCACTAACATCATGACACATGGTATCTCAGAACTAGGTGACACCCAAAACCACCTAGGCGACAACTTGCCTTAACCAAAATGATGGAGTCCCAGCTAGCGACCTGGCACTATCACCGACCTAGCGACCTGCCCCTGGTCCCGACCTGGCGACCTGCCTCTAGCGCCGACTTGGCGACCTGCCCCTGGTGCCAACCTGGCGACCTGCCCCTGGTGCCGACCTGGCGACCTACCTCTAGCGCCAACCTGGTAACCTGCCCCTGTTGCCGACCTAGCGACCTGCCTCTAGCGCCGACCTGGCGATCTACGAGACGCGCTTGCCATCGATTTCTACATGCATCCCATCACTCCCGGGTCTCTCGGAAGTCAGCTCTCACACCGAATGTTTTGGGAGAAACCGAGTAAGGCGCAAAGATTGGCCTACGTGCACGACTATCTCCGAGGACTTTGGAGCAGTTAGGCACGTCCTCCCGGAGATCCCAAACGTGTTGCGTGATGCTCACGCCAAACAATGCCTATATAAAGGCCTTACCTCCAACTCCAGGGGGTAAATGCATAAGTTAGTTCTCGCATATCTCTAACTCTCTCACATTTAGCTATCTTAAAATCTCTGATTCGCTAACTTAAGCATCGGAGTGCCCACCCCGGGTAAAACAACCCGGGCACTCTGACATTGTTTCCTTGCAGGTCGCATCAGAGCCACCTCTCCAGCTCGTCACCATTCAGCTAGGCAACAGAGCCATCTCTCCAGCTCGTCACCATTCAATTAGGCATCAAAGCCGCCTCTCCAACTCGTCACCATTTATCTAGGCATCAAAGCCACCTCTCCAGCTCGACACCATTCAGCTAGGCGTCTAAGCCACCTTCCAGGTAGGAATCATTCAGCTAGGCATCCAAGCCACATTCCAGGTAGGAATTATTTAGCCAGGCATCCGAGTCACCTGCCAGCCGGGGAGCTGCCAAAATGCGCATCATCAAATAACATTAAGAGGTATATTGGTATTAGTGAACTTTTCTTTCCTCTGAACACTGAATGAAGAGAATGTTGTTCTGAATTCTAAAAGTGATCAAATATCCATTTTGACCCCATATATAAGAATTTTTGTTTATCTTTTTTGGGGGTATCATAAGAAAACAAAAAGTTGTATGATTGCACTTTAAGAGATAAGAGATAAGAGGAAACGAACAACCATTTTTCTCTTAAAGTTAAAAGATTCCTCTTAAGAGATAAGAGTTAAGAGGAAAAGAACAAGCCCTAAGTGGGGAGTGGATTGAGTTTGGACACCCACTCCCCGGTGTCAGTTTGTTTCCAAACTTAATCAGAAAATACTCCGTGTCAGTTGGGTGTCATTGGTTAGAAAGGGATCTAGCCAACCTACTGAACTGTCACTTAACTGAATTCTTTTATGTATTAGTGATGGAAGGGATCTAAGGCAAGGAGATCCAATCTCCCCGTTGTTGTTTGTATTAGTGATGGAAGCATTAAATCTGATCATGAAGAAAGGAGTTCAGAGGGGCTAGATTGAAGGATTTAAGTTTGGACCTGAGGGACCTTGCATATCACATCTTCAATATGTTGATGACACCTTAATCTTCCTAGATGCTTCAGTAATCCGAGTCCTGAATCTTAGAGCTATTCTAGCCAACTTTGAGATGCTGATAGGAGTTGGAGATACAAGTGGGAGGGGGGGAGATGGAACAGTTTGCAGGGGTGCTGGAATGCAAAGTAGGGGAGCTTCCTTTTATGTATTTAGGGCTTCCGGTGGGATCAAAGACAGCAGCAATTAGCATTTGGCGGCAACTATTAGAAAGAATAGAGAAGAGATTGGACAGATGGAAGGCTAAATATCTTTGGGTGGGAGAATCACACTTATAAAGAGTGTCTTGGCTAGTCTACCAACCTATTATCTTTCCTTGCTATGAGCCCCTAATGAAGTGGCTATGAAGATTGAGAAAATTCAGAGAGACTTTTTTACGTGAAGGCGTAGGGAGAGTCAAAAAATATCACTTGGTCAAATGGGAAAAAGTGTGCAAGCCAAGGGACGGGGGAGGATTGGGGCTGAGAAGGGTAAAATTAATAAACAAAGCACTTCTAGGGAAATGGCTGTGGAGGTTTGGGCAAGAGAGAGAGGGAATCCTTATGGAGGAGGGTGGTGATTGGGAAATATGGTGTCATAAGATTCGGGTGGGAATCAATGGAAGTAAGAAGTATGGGTGAGTGTTTGGAAAGGAATCATGTGTTCTAGTCAAGAGTTCAGAAATTTGGTTAAGTTCAAAGTGGGAGAATGGTCTAGAGTGAGGTTTTGGGAAGATGAGTGGCTTGAGATAGGGAAGTTAAGTGAGGTGTGCCCAAGATTATACAAGTTAACAGAACAAGTCTCAATGGCCCAATGCTATGAGTGGAGAGGGGAGCAATTGATCTAGAATCCGAAATTCAAAAGACCTTTCTTAGACCATGAAGTGGAAGAGTGTATTATGCTTCTGGAAAAATTAGAAGGTACCAGCACTTCTAGATCTACTGAAGATGGACTCTGGTGGAAAGAATGTAAGGAAGGCAGATTCGCAGTTAAGTCATTCTACAAAGCATTAGTAAGAGAAGAAAGGGGCTCAGAGCCTCAGACCAGATAAAAGGAGTATGGAGTAACCCAGCCCCCCCAAGGGTAGAAGCCTTCACATGGCTGGTGGCACAGGACAGCATCCTCACCTCTAATCACCTGAAATCTAGGGGATTACATCAGGCCAGCTGGTGTTATTTATGCAATCAGAAGGAAGACACAGTACTCCATTTGTTCTTCTCGTGCAGCATAGCAAGCTTCATATGGAAGTTCTTTTCCTTCCTATTTGGGATGAGTGTCTTCCAACCAGTGACTACAATAGAGATCTTCTCCTTGTGGCCAAAGCTCAGAGGCAGTATGAAAGCCAGGATTATATGGGGTTGTGTTCCATTTGCAGTATGTTGGTCCATTTGAAGAGAGACATACAGAAGATTGTTTGAGAACAGGTCAAAAAGTATAGAATACTTGGTAGCGGCAGTGAGCAATCTGATCTCAGAATGGGTCCTCAGACTTCTAGATTTCAAACAAGTCTCCAAAGCCGACTTGCTGGAAAAATTCTGGAATACCCTTGACTTACAGCCTTGTAACAAAGAATCCTTTTCAATATGAAGTTTTGAGAATGTATCCGGCGTGTCATCTAGACAGCCAATGATGCCAGGATGTAATTCTTTCTCACTTTTAATGAAACTTCTTTTCACTAATTCTTCAAAAAATATAATAACTCTCTCTCTTCAAATAATAAAGCAAATAAATTAAGGTAAATAAAATGAATTAACTTTATAATTTTCATTTTCTATTAAATTTTTGAGAAAATTAAATCTTAAAGCAAGGTTTGGATATGTTGTCAACTCAGTGTCCAATACGCCTCTATATTGGTGCATATCAGACTGTATTCACTTATACATCACGATACAAACATATACAGTGGTGTATCATGTTGGTACGCACGACCACTAGGATACACATAGAGTTGTAATGTATCCCATGCCAGTGAGCATGGATACAGATACAATATGCCCCATATCGGGTGTATCATATCGATATTTTAAACCTTGGTTTCAATATCAGCTAGCAGTTGGGCCGATAGTCTAGCTAAACAAGGGGTTCATAGAAATCAGATGTTTGGGGCAAATCTGTAAACTTATAATGTTTGGGGACTAGGAGTGATCATTTTCAAACCAGGTCGGGCTTACGCCCAAAAGCTAGTGTTTAAGCCAATGTTTTAAAACACAAAGGCATGGCGTGAGGCATTCTACTACCTAGAGGCATGAGGCGTAGTTTAGAACGTAAGAGGCGTAAGCCTCCCTAAGGGGGATGAGGAGGAAGGAGGAAGGGGAGGAGAAAGGAGGATCTCATTTTTCTTTGCTTTTAATAAAATCTTTTATATTAAGAAGAACGAAGATGCATAGCATATTAGCACTAGTTGAAAGGGGGGTCCTATTAAAGTAGAGGCAAGCAAGCGTAGCAAGCTACAAGGTCAGGGGGCGAAGCCCCCCAACCAAGGGGGTGCCCCCGGACTACTTTCTTTCCCCTCATGTGTGCATGAGGCATACACCTCTAGCACGCTTCATGAAAAAAGCGTATGAGTACACCTCAGAGGTGTCAACACTTCTAGCCTACGCCTCAAGGCTTTTTGGGGAGGCACATGCCTCCAGGCTTACGCCTCCCATGCCTTTTAAAACACTAGTTTAAGCATCATCTCCATTCTTCTTAATACAAGACATCTTTCATTAAAAAAAGAAAAAAAAAATGAGATCCTCCTTCCCTTTCATCCCCCTCCTCTTAAAGATGCCTATGCCACCTTGTGCTTAGGAGGCGTACGACTATCAATCTCTTATATTCTAATCTCTTATGGGATTATTTAACCTAAATATAAACTTGATTGAACCATATTCATTAATTAACAACAATGTATTACCAAAGAAAGTGGGCATATAACATGAGTCTGATAAGCCTATGGAACCACATACCCTAACAAGTTTCCTTGACATTGCACAAACATTAGCAGTATTTTGCTCCACAGGAACCCTATAAACATAGGCATGACACAAGAGCATATGTCAAAGCACATCCAATAAAACTAAAAGAAAATGAAATGAACATAAAAATAAATAAAAGAAAAAAAAAAACATAGGGGGACATAGAATTTTCCTTGTTTCACAAGTGACTGAAGTGAGCCTCACTGGACCACATCCATCAGAGATGAGAGAAGAATTATAATAAGACAATTCAATCTTGTATGTATCTACCATAGGGTCATTATAACTTGATGTGATAACAGACAATGAAAAATAAGAGCACATACCTGTCCAATAAACTTGTTTTCTCATTTATACTTTTCCTGCCAACACCAACAATATATGTCATCCATTTGATAGAGCTGCTTAGAACTATGGGAAAAAGAAATATTGCTAAAAAAATATCAAACCACTTTTTACAGTAAGGAGGGTGCTTGCTTCTAATTGATCCTACTCACATTGATACAATAACATCACTTGCTCGGTTCCTCCGAACATAGCTCCTACTATTGCTTACATTGGGCACTACTTTTTTTCCAACCTTAGTTTCATGAATTCCCTATAAAGGAGGCAGAAGATGAACATTAAGAATATAAATAAATAAATATAAACAAAAGGATCATATGGGCAAAGGAATCTACGCATTAAAGGGTCAAAGGAACCCTGAACCCCTCCATGCTGACTTTCTAAGAATCTAGAAGCAAGTACTTGTGTAGGTTCTACATTTTTGTGTATCTTAAACACACTGAGATAATGGGATCAAAATAACCTTTACATAATTTGAATTGATCTGGTTGGTCCTCTTTATAACTGGTAATGATTTCCTTCAAGTCAACAGAAAAGAAAAGATAAGCAAAACGCATCAACTAATAGATTAATGAACCTAATGATAACTATTGCAATTTTATATACCTAGTCAATATTGGAGGCCTTCTAGCAGTTGCCCTATCAAAGAATGAAATATGATTAAAGTTCTTAGAAAAATTGAATTTCAAAGATAAGAAAAGAACAAGAACAAGCAGAAGTTACACTTACCCGTCATCAGTACTAAAAGACTCATGGTTCTGGATATTTTTCTTTCTCTGATCAGAGTAAACCTTAAAATCTTTGGCATCATCTGTTCTTCAAAATCATTAAACATGAGAATGAGAAATAGAAGAAAATGAAAACAAGTTTTCTTTAAATATCTACACTACTTACATTTCTGCAAAATGGGATGATTTTCAGGACATTGACTTCTCGCTTTGCCCTGGTTTAGAAAAAGAGAAATTTCACCCTTTACATACATGTTCACAAAACCAAAAAAGAATAACAAATGAAGGATTGGGATTGAAGGATTTTAGAATTTGCCCACCTTGAGAAAGATTTCCTTTATACTTGCTCTATTTCTTTGTCATAGATCAGTTTGAGGATAAAAAAAAAAAAAAAAAAGGAAAGAAGATGGTTGGAGGGAGTTCTATTTGTTCTTTTTAAATGCATGGTTATTAGCCAAACCTCTAAAGGCCCCAAATAGCGGGACGCACTACTCGGTAATGGCCCTTTTATCTTCTATGAAATCCAATGTATGGAAGCACGTAAAGGAGCTGATCAAAATGCAACATGCCAACTGATAAGGGCATTTTGGTCATACGAAATCAATACATACTTCATGATCTCTTACAGGTAACACTTAGCCAGAGCAAAGTGTTTCCCAGGTAACACTTACCCAAGTAAGTACTTTTACTTGTGTTCTTTTTGCACAGGTAAGTTTTCCCTGTTTCCATTTCTATCCTTGTACTTTTTTGTTCTTAGCACCTGTTTAATGGTCATTTTTGTGTCATCAAATTTTAGCATGTTCCCCTAGGTGGGAAAGTAACTTACCCACCTAGGAGAAGGGTAAGTGTTTCTTGAGGAAGTGGCCAAAAAAATTACCCCAGGGAAGTGCCATTACCATGGGTCCCACATTTACCTAAAAAGGACATTGGAAAGTTGGTCAACTTTCACATTGTGAACTCCCCCCCCCAACTTACCTGAAAATTAATGGAGTTATAATGACAAAAAAAAATACCCTTCTTAGGTTGCATATAGCATTCTAAGTGGTTTCTCTTCAAGCTTCTTTACCTTATGTTCTGTCCAACCCTTCAATGTAGCTAGCACTGAATTGAAATATACCTTGGATTTGCAACCTTTTATTCATTAGTGACAATGATCCTACAGATGATAAGTTCTAAGGTGGATGCTCATTTCTTTTATGTTGAGAAGTGGACCTAGCAATGTCATATTCAAAATTCAGCCTAGTGAGAAATTTAAAAACTGCATTCCTCTCTACGAGTCTCTTGTATGTCATAGAATCTTTTTGGACTTTCTCACTTAACAATCTCAAGGATGGTCAATGTTAGGACCCTAGCTTGACCATCAAGTCCTAGGCACATGTATGGAAACAAACCTCTAGTAGAACTTAAGTAAAAGAGACGTCCACATCAACAAACGATTAGGACTGACCTGCAAACAATTGTACAAAATTGATGTGTGGTTATAGCTCAACTATAAATAAGATGTAATGGTGTATGTAAGAACAAGAATGAATTCATAAGTTTACCTTCACCTTTCTCTCCCCTCTATCTTCTATCTCTCTCTTCTTCTATCCCTATTTTGGAGGTGTTACCCTTGAAGAACCCTAAGGAAACTTCTTATCTAGTATCAGAACTCACATCATGACAAATACATGCATGATAAGAATGAAGGTCAAGACAGATCATGTAAAGGTGGAGCTGCACCATGTGATGAGCAATCTAAAGGCAACCAAGGAGACACTCGCAGCAATGGCAGCTTGGATAGATCAACTACCAACTCGCAGCAATGGCAGCTCATACCACATGTGAACTAGTATAGTTGAAGAATTTGCTACAAGAGATGGGGTTCTAAATTGACAAACCCATGAGACTATACTGCGATAATCAAGCAGTTGTTCACATCTCTTCCAACCCGGTCTTCCATGAGAGAACCAAGCATATTGAGGTTGATTGTCACTTTGTAAGAGAGAAAGTGATCGGTGGAGGGATAACCACATCTCGTGTGAGTTCAAGAAATCAATTGGCAGATCTCTTTACAAAAGGATTGTCTCGGGGCAGAGTAGATTATATTTGTAACAAGCTGGGACTATATGACATATACTCTCCAGCTTGAGGGGGAGTGTTAGAATTCACAGAACAGGGGTATTTTGGTCATTTAGGCTTATCTATTTGAGAGTGAAAGGTCTATTTTATTCAAGTTTAAGTTGTGTGTCCCATCACTTATGAGGGACAATATTATCTTTCTTGTAACTAAGCTTATGTGAGATAAATGCAAGTGGGTCGACTAGAGAGGACTGATTTTTCCTCTACTGGCAGAACCCTTCTTCTCCTTCTCTTCTTCTCTTCTTCTTCTTCCTCTTCTTCTTCTCTATTTTAACCTAGAACTGAATAGGGTTTTCACAACGGGCTTGAACAAACTTTTAAGCACACGGGCTCGAGCTCAAGCTCCAAACATTAGGCCTGACTATTTTTTGGGTTGGGCTAAAGCTTTCCCCAATAAGCCCAAGCCTAACTTGATAATATTAGTAGTAGAAGATGTAATAAAAAATATAATATATATTTTATATAATATTATGTAATAATAATATATAGAATATTATATGATATATAAATAATATATTATAAAATATCTACCCAGATCGGGCTTTGGGCTTTATATAGGGCCAAGATCAGGCTCAAGATCTAGGCCCGATGGCTGGGCCAAGCTTGGACTCATGCTTGGTCATTTTCTGTTTATAAAGAGGCAAAGCCCAGCCTGAACCCAGCCCATTTCCCAAGGTATATTTAAGTCTATATGAAAAGCTCAAGATATGCTTAAATCAATTTATGAAAAGTGAGGGCATGCTTAAGTCTTTTAGCCCAAAAACCATGGTTTTAAAAAATGACCCAGAAACGGAACCATTCTAGCCACCGGTTTTCGGGTCGACGGTTCAACCGTCCGATTCGAATGGACAGCCAGTTCTAACAAAAAATTAAAAATTAATTAATTAATTAAAAATAAAAAACAGCCAAAAACTATTAAATGGGTCGACAATTCGACCGCCTAGGTCAACGGGTCATTGATTGATTCAATAGTTTTTGGTCAGAAACCAGGTTTGGGGTAAAACGGAACCGACTGCCTAGACAGTTCCAGGCCGAACGATCCAATTGTCTAGGTCAACAGCGGTTTGAAACCACGCCAAAAACAACTATAAAAAACTAAACCAAGGTCCACAACCAAATAACAGTAAGTCCAATAGAAAAATAAAACAATAAAGAAAAGAAAGGGACCTAACCATCACCAATAATTGTTTGAGATTACAAGAGCATAAGGCTAAAGCAGAGTGGAAATTTTATAAGGTAATGGGCAAAAAAACTACATGGATCTCAAAAGAATTAGTATGCTTTCATTGGAAATTTTAGATCTATAATGTCCACATTAGGTACCACATAGAGAGTTATATGGTTGATGGTCCGTTAAAAACTTAAGTTGGTCCTTGAATTTGCATTTACACAATAACAATGATAAAAAGAAATCAACAATTTAGCAACATGAAGTGATTGGTACCTTGCTTTAGGCAGTTTTTCGAACATCATTTAATTAGGCATTTTCTGTATTTTTCCTTCAAATATGCTGAAAAGTCTGATACTATGATATTGGTATTTGGTCAAAGGAAAAACCTAACAAGGCCTTGTCTATATTTGAGGAAAGCACCTACTTTTTCTGGGGGCAATACCTCCAGTACAAGTTCTTTTAGCTCCAGATAGAAGTGCATCCTTTACCATACACCTGGAACACTGTGGCAGTCCAGGTAGTCACCCATCTATGTGCTGCCCATAGAATGTTCCACGTATAGTGTATCATACACTTGTACCTGATATGAAATAAAAAATAAAAAAAAAAGAAAAAGAACTTTGAATTGCTAGCACTGCTCATATTTCGGATAAGCTGGGGGCATTTAAACAGCTTATGCAAGGCAGTAAAAGCCACAATCTGCTAATTTGGACTACTGCACTGAAAAATCATGTGCATCAGTAAAACTTGAATGAGAACTAAAAGAATACCCCTGAAACAAATTACAGAGATTTCTAGATAATCATTGTCCCCTCATGAAGCTTTTAAGATACCAAAACTGAAATTCTAATATTACCAGTTCTTCCTCTTGTGTTTGAAATGTATTTGATTCCCATCATGTAACAGAAAATGCATGTTTTACCCATAAAATATAGACCAAGTTTATCCAGAAGTTATGTAATCTCTAGTCTAGGTTAAGCAATACCATTATACCAAGAACCACCATAGTAAAAAATCATATCCAGTATTCCAGCTACCTTAAGATAAATCTCACTCAATTGTTATAACTTACAAGTAACTAGAAAGAAAAATAGATTAATGTGCTCAGTCAAGGAGGGAGCAAATAGATAGCAGAGAAATTATTGAAATTGGTATTGATTTACACACCATGATTGATTTTCTTGCCAACGAGCTTGCACTTGCAGTTTTCCGGACAATTGAAACCCTTGAAATAAGTATAGCAAAATGAAATAATATTTCACGGAAATCAAAATACCCATGATAGATTAAATACAGTGGAAACTAGAATAGAATAAAGAAGAGAAAATCAAACCTTGATTCTTTAATCTTTTTCCCATCATGAATCTTGCTGCAAAAGATCATTTAAAATCAATGAAATATCTAAAAAAGAAAAAGGAAATACTCGGTAGTGCTTTTGGATGCTCCACAAAACCATTCTAGAATTGGTTTCATTATTCTACACCAACTCCCTCTTGGGACCTTTGCTTTGGGGTGGCACAAGTTTGCTTCACATCCACCACCAAAGACATGGTCTGAAGTTAAAACAATGTTGACTCAAATGTGGCAATTTCTTTTCCTTTTAAAATGCATTTTCTGTCAACTTATATCATGCTACTACTTTTGTAACTTGAAAGTGAAAGTGTAAAAATGCAATCCAAACTTTTACCAAAGTTACCAAATATCATATATACAAGCACATGAGCACATCCAGATAAGAAAGTGGAAGTATAGGTAATCCCAGTCCACTTTCAGTATAAGCTACTTTTCTTACTTCTATTATTCCTGTAAACAACATTATACTCCTTATAACTCCATTTACAAGTATGCTACCAAGTGGTTCAAAAAGTTATAGATACAATGATCACGTTGTCAAGGTGGCATATATGGTAAGCAAATTGTTCTTGTCGTTTCAAAGTGCAGATTCCGAGGACCCCAAAACCAATGGTAACTAAAACCCAAGTAAGACATCTTAACTCTTAAACAAATTGTCTTACAGTCAAGCTGTTCAACCTAGAGTCAAAATAAAAACACACTAAAAGAAATGTAGATATGTGATCCTTCATCAGAATTATACGATATTCAATATTACTTACAGTGGTTTGGAGCCATCAATCTCTCCATTCTTTGTCAAGGAATTCCTAACATTGCTGATATCAGCCAAGATTTTTCTTCCAACCTTTACTTTAACTGAAAAAAAATAAGTAAAAATTAGAAGGATCCCCCCAAACTACATATTTAAGTTTGTCTGAAACAGTATCTGTCCATAAAACATTGTGCCTCACCAGAACTGTGTTGCATGCGTTTACTTTTCGATTCATTTTCAGCACTACCCTATAAACAAACAGAAGAAAAACAAAAGAAAATAACAAAGATCAAAGAAACAAATCCTAAACCTTCTAAGTTATATATACATATAAAAACGAAAAACACAAACGCCAAAAATTTGAAATGAACAAAACCAAACAAACCTTTAAATCACCCAAATCGCCCCCCTTGCCTCCTTCCATAACTGGTATAGACTTTCTTCATATGATAACAAAAAGTCCAGAAAAAAGGGTCCATAAATAACGTGATTTTTCTAAAAGAATCTCAATTTTCAGTACATTTCTACAAATCAGACATACCTTGTTCGCACTATCGGTTTTCTCCCAGTATTACTGAAGATAGAAAATGAATTAGGCGACTCGATGTTAAGAAAGATAATAGAAAGAGAGAATTGAAGCACGCTTACGGGGCATCAGCAGCAACGGATTCACGGACACGAACTTTAATCTTCTCAGTATCTGAATAGACCTTAAATTCTTTTATACCAACTGTCCAGAAAACAGAGAAGAAATGATAAGCGGAAAACCATTGCTACTCAAATACAGAAATTTTTAAATACGGGAAAAAATCTTACCATTCTTGACGATGCGCTGATCTGCAACTCGACGTTGGTTCGCATTCAATTTGTCCTAATTTACAGAGAAACAAAACCTTACCAAAGATCTTATTCAAATAATTAAGCAAGAAAAGGTTAGGGTTTCTTCTAACTTACCTTGGAGGAGACCATGTTATTTCCTGCTCGACTTCTATGTTCCTGTGAGATTCTGATTTCTGAGCTCTCAACGGGTTGTCGTAGAAACAGGCCGCCTGTATGCGAATTTCAAATATGTACTTTGATTTTACAATAATGACCCTATCAATTTAAAAGTTTGACTTATAAACCCTCTCTTCTTTCTACTAAAAAGCCAAACCAGGGAAAATTCCACCGAACGTCATTAACCGACCTTTATTTATCTATTGAAAATGTTAAAACTGCCCTTTGTAGGTACATAGTGCTCATTCAATCCTCTAGAGTATAGAAGACGCCAAATTGATACCATCTGGGCGCTTACGATTAGCTTGCAACTTATCGGTCGCCTACGATGAACTTACGATGCATTGCACACCCGCGATAAATACACGGTTCATCGGACGATTGCGATGGACTTACACTCAACATAAGTCTAAAATAGATTATGGATAACTTGCAATGAATTTTACACACATTTAGTTCTGCAATGAACCCTGAACGCGCGCGTCTCTGAGATAAACCTCTGACACAGACGGTTCGGCGATGAACTCCGGAGGAGCGCGATCTTAAGATAAACCCTACACCACTACGGAATCCCAATTCGTTAAGAACTGAGCTAAAATATTGACTGCATGTGTAATTTTAAGTAGCGTGCGTAATAAGGCACCACGTAGGTTTAGTAAAAGGCCGCCCGCTACGCAATGACGTCACTAGTGCCACATCGGTTAAGTAAGGTGTGAAAGGCAATAGCACATGTGGATTATGAGAATCCTCAAGTGAAAGGAAAGTCAACCCTTGACAGATCTCATAAACACACGTCGCGAAACCCTAGCAATGTTCCTTAATGACCGACGACGAATCTAATATTCTCTTTTCTAGAAGAAAATGAGCACTTTTGGCACCTTCCTTTTTGGGACCTCGAGATCCCTACCTATAAATAAAGATCCTCCTGATAACAAAATTCAGTCATTCAACCCTTGATTAACTCGATCATTGGATTCCCTGCTCAGTCGTCTCATCACTCCCCTTACCCTAAACTCTCGATTAATTCTCTGTTCCCGGTCTTCCTTTGTCCTTCAAGGAGACCACTCCCACCTAGCCCGACCACCTCCTACTTACACCCTTCAAAAGAAGGCATTGTTCATTGTCCTTTACCTTGAGACTAAGTCGGTTATCTTCAAAGAAAAAGAGAGAAAAAATATGAAATATGATAGAGGGAAGCAATAACTGAAAGTAAAGAAATAATTACACAAGAATGTGTTTTAGATCAAAAGGTAGAAGACAATAACTTCATAGTCTAGAATCTCAAACACCTCAACCAATTCAATCTCAAGGTAGAAAACAATGAATAGTGTCTTCTTTAAAAGTTTAACATGTAAATCCCCTTTTCTTCTCTAGCCAAGAGAACAACTAAGGGTGAGCATGGGTTGGTTCAATTCAGTTCCTAAAACCAACTCTATAAGGGTCGGTTTTAGGTTTTTTGAACCAGAACCTATCCCATGAAAGTCAACTTCAGAGTTAGTTCTAGGCTTGGCGGTTTTGCGTTGGTTCCAAGGTCTACTCATGGAATTTGTTATTTCTCTACTTTTCCTCCTTTAAAAAAAATTTGAAACATGTTCTTTAAAAATTTGGTTTTCAATAAATATAATATATAATTTAGAACTTATATTATTGATGTAGCGTAATCCGGCTGCTCCCTGCTAGATACGATCTGGCTGCTAGCAACGACGAGAATTGGGGTTCCTGAAAGAGATGAGTCAGAGATCCCGGGGTGGCTCACCCGGTGGGGACACTCCGATGGTTAAGTTATAACACAGTGGTAGTATAGAGCTTGAAGATGATAACAATGAGAGAGCTACAGAGCAAAGATTACACACACAACAATAAAAAAAAATAGAACGTACCTTCGCCCCTGGGGGGGCGGAGTGTTTATATACTAGAGTCCATGCGGATTGGTGGAACGGTTACTGGATCCCTGCTGTGATGGGACTCGCTTGCGTGTTAGGTGGGTAAAATGCCATCAACCGGTAAGACTGTCCCTTCCCATCTGAACCGGGGAGTTGGTGAACTAATGTAACCATTACAAGGTATGGTCCTGTGGGATACAGAGTACGGAGGTGTGCTCCTCGAGGTTGCCATGCGGAGGTCTGAACGATAGGTGAACTACCTGTAGGGTACCGGGCTGTTTGATGGCGAGCTGATTGGTAGTGAGCTTCTCAAGCTCATGCTCCTTAGGTCCGTCCTGACATGAATGCCAAAGTGCCCTTGGATTGAGGTGATCCCAGTGCGATCTTATGCTGAGGTATACTTGCCCCGAAGTAGTCCTAACCGAGGTGGTTCATCAGTCTAGGCTCGACCTATAACAAACTTGGTTCCGTTATCCTGGTCGCGATCTGGCGCTGAGACGATCTTAGTTCGGGATACCCTTAGCTCGGGGTATTAGGGTACCCGAGGTTACCTTGTAGCAAACTAGTCATGTTGAGCTGTCACTTGTTCCACGTCTCGTCCACGTGCCGGTCTGACCATGTCGAGTTATCGTGTGTGCCAAATCACGTCCACGTGTCTCCCTGTCAAGAGGTCGGGCCAAATTCCCCTTCATCAATTTCCCCCCACTCCTCGAGCTAGGGGTCTTGACCTGGTTTGAGGAGTTCACGATGTGCCAAGTGGATTTGGCTCAAAGTCTGGCTGCTCTGTCAGATGGGTCGCCTGCGGTTCACGCGCGGACGTCACGCAATCTATTGGCTCCACGGACGCCAAAAAACGCGCTAAACTATCTTTGACCTCGAGGGTTGTGCAGCCGGTTTTCTTAGGAGCCATTGGATTGCTTTTATTTTGACAGTTGCTTCTTCAATTCATTGGCTATAAATAGGGAGACTCGAGACTCATTTCCTTCACCACAAGCTTACTAGTCTTCGATCTGAGGTCGCGCTTAGCTTCTTTAGTTTGGGTTTTCTAGTTCACCACTTTCTTCCAGTTCGGTCGTCCCTCTTTGGTGAGTCTCCTTTCGCTTTCTTTTTAGTTCGGTTCAGTTCCATGTCTTCCTTTAGTTTTGATAGTCTTTTAGATGAGGCCGAGGAGGGTACCTCGGCCCAAGTCGGTAGCCGAGACGAGGCTACTTCGGACACAGAGGCAGTCCATGGCCTTCCCGAGGTACAGTCACCCCGGCAGGCGTGAGGGCCTCGGGTAGTCTGGCATCCACCTCTCATCAAGGTCGGGTGCCGGACAACTTTGGCCCTTCAACAATGACCTTGGACCGGCTCCAGGCCTTAGTACGCCAGTACAACATTCCGAGAGAGTTCTCCTACAGTCTCCCCTTAGGTAACTTCCCTTGGGAACACAATCACAATGAGATTGTGATTTTTGAAGAGCAGCTCATGGCTGGTCTTTGTCTTCCTTTGCACCCCTTAATTGTAGAAGTCCTGAAGTCTTTCGATATTACCATAAACCAATTACACCCGAACTCCATCCGCAACGTAGTAGGGACCATTTCACTTTTTTTTGAGTACTGTCTTCCCCTCAACCTCGAGATCTTTTCTTCTATTTTGTCAATTAAGAAAAACTCTTCTAGTGCTCTTCCTGAGCATAGGAGAACCTATTACCTGTCTCCTCGTCTGGGCTATAAGATTTTGCACGAACTTCCCAACAGGATACTGGCCTGGAAACGAGATTATTTCGTGGTCCGTAACCCCGAGGGGTGGCCTTTCCCAACCCATTGGAGGTCGGCGATTCGGGACTCTAGTGTTAGACTAGACCTGAAGACAAGGGAGACGCTCAAGTCTTTGGGCGGAGCTCGGCTTCCTTTGCGCGGACTACCTTGCCGAAGACAAGCTCGTTCAGGCCGGCTTGAGTCCTGGTAGGTCGCCTTGGGATTTTTTTTTTTTTTTTTTTTAAGTTCTGATTAGTTCGTGGCTAATCTTATTTTTTATTTTTGTAGCTACCATGTCGGTCAATGCAGAAAATCTCTTGAGGAGCTTCCAAAAGGGGAAGAAGAGGGTTGCAAAGAGACCACGCTAGGAGGCCGGTCTTTCATCTGAGGTCTTAATTGTGGAGCCAATCTCCATTGGGCCTCCCTAGGAATAGGTTCAACCTGCTGCTCCCAAGGCGGTTACAGACAAGGATCACCGTGAGGGAGCTCGCCACCAAGAGCCGGAGAGTTTGCCCGCGTCCATGGAGGCGGGTACTGCACCAGAGAGTACTCCTTCGAGCTCGAAAGAGAGCATTATGGACCACGTGCTTGCCATGCGTAAGAGTCAGGATGCCGTCTTCCACAACGAAGTCGCGAGGTGGGCGGAGATGTCTCCGGGCCGTCTTTTGGGACTAGTCGCCAGCCACTGTATGGTGGTAAGCATTCTGCCTTTTTCTTCTCCCCCCCCTTTTTCTCCCCCTTTTGGCTGACCTCAGTTTTCTTTTGGTAGGCTAACTCTGCTAGTCACGCGCTGGCCTACCAATTGGCGATCCGTACGAAGGAAGCTCATGATGCCAAGGCGGAGGTGCAGAAGCTCCACCACGAGCTGGACCTGACTCAGGGGCGAGGTACTTAGAGCCAAAAAGGGGGATGAGGCCTAGAAGCATATGATCTTGACCCAGGAAGGGCAGATCTCCGCGCTGGCTGGGGAGAAGGCGCGGCTTCAGCGAGAGGTCACGAACCTTGAGTTCATGATCAAATAGCGCACCGAAATCTTTGAGACCACCATCACAGAAGAAAGGAAAAAGGCCATTGAGAGCTTTAAAGAGTCCCCGGAGTTCAAGGCCCTGCAGGTCAAATACGACTCGTGCTTCTATCGCTCTGGGTTCAAGCTATGCCGGTACCTGGTCCGGAAGAAGTTCCCCGATCTCGACCTTGGCGGCATCATGATGACAGGCTTAGACTCCGGGGTCGCCAAGGCAACAGACGAGGAGCCCGACTCCCTAGGGGAGGAAAGTGATAACTAGGTCGAAGTGGTGGACCCCTCCGCATGATAGCTTGTTCTCTCTTTTTTCTTTTCGAATTGTGGATGTACACCCCAGGGCCATTGAGCTCAGGTCATAGTAAAATCCCTGTACTTGAACTTTTTACTAATGAAATATACTATTTCTGAGTAATCCTGAGTG